GGTAAATGCAGTAAGACCCTTTTTCTGGGCTCTTGGGTCTATGGGGTGGAAGCCTGAATGTCTCCTAAGAGGTCTTTGCTAACTCCCTTCAGTATGACTGTTTCTAGGCTTTCATAGCAGCCTTGATTTTTTTTTTTTTTTTTTCCCTACTTAGAGCTCTTCCCACATGGTACAGTGTGGACCTCTGGCAGAGCAGGAGTTCGTGAGGGTCTGATCTGTGTCAGGCTTATTCAACTCAATCTTCAGGGCCCAGCATGGTGTTGCAGTGGGTATTTGATTATGGGAAAGACTCAGAAAGATGAAACTGAACCTATTTCCCCTGTTACGCTCTCTGTTGTGCTCTAATTATGGTTCTATCTCCCCAATCCTGTATTGGGGAACACATAAATTGCCATGCAGTAAATGTGTGACATGATCTTTGTTTATTGCTAGATGCTTTTTAATAGTTGGATGTTAGGCCTCTGGAATATTGCTTTCCTTGATGTGTGATGAATACTTTTAATCCTTTGGTCACCTTATTTTTTTATAAGTTAATTACTTTCTATTATGTTGATGGATTGTTTTATGTTTTAGATGATTTCCTCTAAATATTGCAACACAGGGACTATTAGATCGAGCTAACTGCCACCACCTTGAGCTTTTTCAGAAGAGCCTCCTTATTAAAAATATATAATTTCAGGGTTTGTACAAGGCATTTTTTCAGTCATCAGTGCCTCCAGATGAAATTAGAAGATTAAAATGATGAAGCGCCTCATTGATTTAATAAGTATCCTCCATATTTATTCTGATTGTTGACCCCATACTTGCCATTTTACTATGAAGTGAGCAGGATAAAGGGGTCCATAAGAGTGCCATTACCTTCTGCCTTGTTTCTTAAACAAGTGGCTGTTCTACAGTCAGTTACAGGGGGCTTCCTGGGAGTCTCAGCCCCTCATGTTCTCCTGGAGCAGCTCCTCAGATCCAATTCCTTCTGTGGAAAGCTGCTCTGGTCACAGCCTCTGCTGTGTTTGTGAGGAAAGAGGAAAAGGGAGAAGGTGTGTTCCGGCTGTGGGGAGTGGGAGTTCAGGGTATTAGAATGATTAAGGAACTAGGGCCGCTGGTGTTTGGAGTAGAGACTTTGGAGTCATGCTGGCTCTGGGTTGAGTCCAGTTCTCCATGTGACTGTGTTACATTGAGCAGGGCAATGTAGCCTTGGAAACCTTAGTTTTCTCACCTGGAATACCAGGGCAATGATTGAACCCTTTCAAGAGCTATGCTGATAATTAACCAAGATAGAAGTACCAGCTCTAAACAAATGTCTGTTCTCATTAGAATAGTCAGTATTCTTTTTTAAGAGTTTGTGTGCTATTGTTTGGGACCTCGTGTGATCATAAAATAGAAATATGTCTCCCCCCCACAAAAAAAAAGAAGTGGAAAGAAAAAATAGCTGGGCATGATAGTGTACATCTTTAATCCCAGCCCTTAGGAGACAGCGGCAGGCAGATCTGTGAGTTCTAGGCCAGCCTGGTCTATATAGTGAATGAGATCCAGGCCAGCTGTGGCTACAGAGTGACCCTGTCTAGCCAGCTGCCGTGCACTGAGGAAGCACTTTGCAGTTTATGAAACTGGTTCACGTTGATGTTCCACTGTCTCCGTGGCAGATGCGAGCCCTGTGGCCCTCAGCTCTAGTTCTGTAAGAGAAGGACTAGGCAGAGGTAGAAAGGGCGAGCAGTGAAAGCAGCTGGCAAGGAAGGTGTAGGAGCCACCACTCTCCAGAAAGGTGCCACTGCAGCCATCACCTTTGACCTGCCTCACAGGACCACTTGCTGTTTGAAGAAGTCTTCCTTAGCCATTGGAATGACTATTTCCAAGCTGAAAAGCATGCAGAGTTCTGTGTGTGTGCACAGGTGAAGACAGCATTATAGAGAATTACCTCTCTGTTGCTCACTTGATACCATAAGACTTAGGGGAAAATCCCCTGATCTAAAGTTAGATGATGGGTTATAAGAGAAGTCAATTTCTGTGAAATGCTTTTTAAACTGACTTCATCTTTCCATATTCTGGTTCTGACCCTTTCACCTTAGACTAGTGGAATTACAGTTTTAAAGATGAAGCCATGTGATTGTCTAAATTGTCTACTTCCCTGTATGACCAGGAAACAGACTCATAAGAAGGCTCAAGAGGGAGAAAAGAAATTAACATTTACTGAGTTGTTCAAGCAGTAGGCATTTGGGTCATTCATAGGTTAATTCTGTAGTTCAGCAGTTTCTTTAGTTTTGTTGTTGTTCATTTATGGGGTTTTTTTGGGGGGGGGGATACAATCTTGATATGTTGACCTGGCTGGTTTCAAAACTCTTGGGCTTAAGGATCCTCCTCCCTTAGCCTCCCCATTAGGGAGGCTGCAGATAGATGCAGTTATGCCTTACCTATCAAATTCTTCTGGAAAGTCTTCAATGTGCCAGGCACAGTGCTAAGCATCATGATGGGTTATTAAACAGAGCATGCCTTGGCACTGTCTGGAGAAGAGGCATGTGAAGATGAACATAAAGACATGGCTGAAATTGTTATGTGCTGTGAAGCCAGTGAGCAGGGCGCCTGCAGGAGAGCAGCTGAGAGGGCTCCTCTGTAGCAGTCAGTGAGGATCCTCTGAGGAGTCACAGGGGCTGCAGCTTGACAACTATCCTCACAGTCTTATCTGAGCTCTTACCATTTTATAGCATTTTACATTTCAGCATTTTACAGCTCAAGAAACAGGAGCCCAGAGAGACTTAGTGACCTGGCCAAGAGCACACATTAAAGGGTAACAAGTTAGGCAGGCAAAGATGAAACAGAGCCTTCTAGATGTAGTAAGGTCTTCAGATGGAGAGATGCAAAGTATGTACCTGCATGTACACATGTGTGTCTCAACACATACATCCAGAGTACCATGCCAGTGTAGCTAAACCCTGATGGACAGGCAGAGGACTTGGCAGTAGGTGATAATGGAAAGCTGGGTGGGGACCAGGTCATGCCATGCTGTGAGAGTTTGGATTTTATTCATCATCCTAGGAACCACTGACTGGAGAAACGTGAATAGGGCTGTAATAGCGTTGACTTTCAATCTCCACACTGGAGATTGAAACCAGGGTTTTTGTTCATGCTAGTAAGCATTCTAGTAAGCATCCTGTGTGTGTGTGTGTGTGTGTGTGTGTGTGTGTGTGTGTTTCTTCTCTGGAGAAATGTCCGCTCAGATCCTCTGCAGTATTTTAATTTGGTTGTCTTTTATATTGAATTTTGAGAGTTCTTAGTATGTTTTAGGTAGTAGACCCTTACCTCATACATGATTTGCAGCTCTTCCTTCCCATTCTGTGGATTACATTTTCATGTTCTTGACTATATCCTTTGAGGACAAAAATTTTTAATTTTGATGAAGTGTAATTTCTTCTCTTGCTTGTTCTTTGAGTCATTTTAAAAGAAACAAACACTTAATCCATAGTCATGAAGTCTTACACCTGTTTCCCTTTATGATCTTATAGTTTTACTTTTTACATTTGGCCCTTGACCCATTTGAATTAATATTTATATGATAAGCGGAAGGAGTGCAGATTCATTCTCTTGCATGTTGCAGTCCTGTCCTCCACGTGCCATTTGTTGAAAAAATCATTCTTCCCCCACTGAAGCACAGTTTGGAAGTAGACAGCCTAGTACTAACTAGTGGAATAGGTGGGCAGATGGAAAGCAGAATCAAGATTGCTAGCACGAGAGTTGGTATCGTGGTGGCACCTGATGCGGGGAGGAGACAGCTTTGTGACTTGGGGCAGGAGGGAGTGAGGGATAGTGAATTTGTCTGTCACACTTTCTACATACTGTGTAGTAGACGGGTTTGTAGGTGGGAAGAAGACTGTCAGCCAAGGAGAAAGAGCTCAAGCCTCTCATGAGGGAGGGTTTGGCCAAGAGCTTATGCAGAGCAGAGAAGGAGAGGAAGGTGGGTGTAGTTAAAGTGGTTTGGGCCTCAAGTGACAGGAATTTTTGCGAGAGAGGGGAAATGCTAGTTTGGAAGTGTTAGTGGGGCCAAGAATACCTACATGGCCTCCTGACCTTCATAATCTAGGGATTATGAAAAAGATGAGGGAGCAGGGCATGGTGCCATGTGCCTATAATTACAGCTGCCGGGAGGCTGGGACATGAGGATCAGGAGCTTGAAGCCAGCACTGTGGGCAACAGAGTACCTTGGGAAGTAGAGAGGAAAAAAGAAAGGCATTAAATTAAGGAGAGGAAGAACACAGGAAAGAAAGAGTAAGGCCCAGAAAAACAGGCCTCCGCTAAGGATGGCAGAGACAGAACCCTCAGCAGACAGCTGTTTTGCTTAAGGCACAGGACGGAAGAATATCTTGAAAAGCCTCTCCGATGTGCAGAGGTTTGCTGACTCATGCCAGCGCTCCAGAGGACAAAGTGAGGGGGTTCAGGGAGGAGGGCTGAACATATTGAGGGAATTGGGGATATGTAGAACATTGTGACATGCAGTAACGGGTGACCAAGTACCCTTGAATTTGTGTGGTGTTGAAGTAAGCATATGTCCTGCCTGATTAATCCCCATGGCGTGTGAGAAGGCAAGCTCCTCAGTGAAATGCTTCCTCAGAGAACAGAGTGCTTCCTGAGCAGCTAATCTCAACCTTTCCTGAAGCAATATGCCTGTTTCCAGGGAAGGCAGCAATGCTAGGGTCTAATGGTGCCTTCCCAAGGGAACAGTGTATTAGTAACAAAGCTAGTCTAACACCAAGCACCAGCTCTACTCACCACTCTTGTTCCTCTTATTAGAACTCCTTTACATCCATTGGAACACTAGAATATGAAAATTAAAGGAAAAACTACTCTGAAAATAAACCTGTTTCCACTTTGGGATACAGGCTTGGCAGGCAGGTCTGTGCAGAGAGAGTGGGAAATGGTGATGCCAGCGCAGGCGAGGAGAGTGGTGTGGGGCTCCTGGTGACTCTAAGGCCATGGCTTTGTGCTTCACTCTCATGTTTGTGCTCTGTCCACAGGGTCATGTGGGTACCACTGCAACCAAGAAGATCGACGTCTACCTCCCTCTGCACTCGAGCCAGGACAGACTGCTGCCAATGACTGTGGTGACAATGGCCAGTGCCAGGGTACAGGACCTCATCGGGCTCATCTGCTGGCAGTACACCAGCGAAGGACGGGAGCCAAAGCTCAAGTAATCCTTTCTCTTTGCCTGTTCCAGCTGCTGGTGGTCTCCTGGCCACCAGAGCTGCATTCTTATACTCTTATCCATGTTGATCTCTAGGCGCTACCCTGAGGACCAGACTTTCACACAGATCCAGTACCTCAGAGAATCTACTTGTAAAAAAGGTTTATGAGTTTACAGATCTGGACATGAGGAAATGAAATTTTATTTTATTTTATTTTATTTTATTTTATTTTATTTTATTTTTTTGGTCTTTTTTGAGACACAGTCTTCCCTGTAGCCCCAGCTGACCTGGAACTCACTATGTAGATCAGGCTGGCCTTGAACGCACAGAGATCTGCCTGCCTCTGCTT